ATATATATATATATATGCGACAATCAAAATTAGCTTTACTTAAATTGCTGCAGGACGCTGTACAATAACGAGGTAAGTCAAATTTCCGCAATTTGGAGTTATGCAAACAGTACGTTGTGACAGTGCGCGCTGTTTGCTATATATATGTATATCACACACAAGAGAGTGTATAATTCAATAATTTTCTATTCACAGAATTTCGTCGAGTGTCCCAGTTGATGCGTAAATTGTTATTAATGTCACAAAATAGTTCTTATTAGAGAAATAAATACTGTAATTTCACACGCGAATTTACTTCTCTGTTATGGCTTTCTTCTTCTTGGAAAACAAAATATGTGATTATTAATGGAGTTAGTTAATGCTCATTCGTAACAAAATAATTTCTAATTGCGGAGCAAATGAATTTAATGCTCTCATAGTGCATTAATATCAATAAACACAAAAACCTAATAAACCTAATAAAGAAACTAACAATGCTCAATATTCATTAATCTTGCTTTGTTATGTTTCGGATTACGTATCTTTTGATCATTGCCATTTATTCGAATTCCGTTTAAGCTTCGTTTAAGCTCAAAGGATAAGAAAAGACAATATGACATTTTGGTTCTCTCAAGTTTCTTTCAATTACTGCTACATTTATATCCTTTATCTCGCCTAGCTTATAAAGTCAAGAGTTAGAATCTGATTAAAAGCAAATTCGTTATCCTTTCATTTTATATGTTTATATATTTACCGACATATAAATATACTATATATACATGTTACATATTTATATATCGATAAATATAATATAAATATAGATATATATAATATAAATTTGTAATATAATATATATATATATATATATGTTTACATATTTATTGAAGTATAAATTATATTGTAATATTAATATTAATAATTCGAAGAAACTGAATCATACTCACCTAACATTGATCGGTTGCATCGAATGCTCTTGCTGCAAATACAATTGTTGTTGATATCCACCAGTATCCAGACTCAGACCATCCGGTGATTGCTGTATACCGTTACCTTGCATTATCTATAATAATGTAACATATATAATAAATATTAAAAATTTAGAAAAAGTTACATAAAATAATATATGTAAAAAAACTATATAATTCATAAAAAAATTCATAATCGGCTCAATCACTATCATTCGTTTCTTCATCTTCATCTCAAATATCCAGCAAACAATGAAAAGAATATGCAATTATTTAAAATATTCATTTGTCTCCACAATATTAATATAAATACCACATAGAAAATAATATCTAAAGACAAATAATATCTAAAGACATCTTATATTCCGATTTTAGATATTGTATTGTCTGAATATGGTTAAAAAAGATATGATTGAAAATAATGTCTTCCTGTGGAAGAATATTACATAAATTAATTACTTCCTTCGAGGTTTTTTTTATTTCTATTGAGCATTTGTATATATATATATATATATATATATATATATATATATATATATATAT